GAGCTGGCTCTGAACAGACACCCTTGCCTGAGTCTTGGGGTATAAATGAGCCAGATATGAAGGATCCCAGCAATGCTACTGGCCAGGAAGAGAAGAGCAAGAGAACCAAAGAGTAAGATGGGTGGGAAAGAAAACTATAATTCTATGGGCACCAATTGTTTGAAAGAAAACTTTTTAGACTAATAACATCCCTTGTCCATTCTTAGACCTTAGTTTCTAAGGATCAGCTGGGTGCAGACCCAAGGAGGCAGGCCTGACCCAGGTACTCAGCAGGGGCCCCTCATCCTGGGTGGTGGGGTGTGCCAAACAGGTGGGACTTGCTTAAGGCCTGAGAAACTCTGGCAGGGTTTCCATTCTTATCGTTCATCGTCTCTTACATGTGATCTGTGGTCCAGCTTTGCTGGACTTCCTAGTCTCTTTCATACCCCATGCTTTCACTCTACCGTTTTCATCATTCTGGGGTATACTTTTCCTGCTTGTTTGCCTCGTGAGATGTAATGATCTTGTGCCTAGTTCAAGCGTCATCTTCCTGAAGTCCTCCTGACTCCTCCAGGGTGAGTTTGTTGATCCCTCCTCTAGCTTCTGAAGTTTGACTCACCCATTCATGCTATTTATTATGCTTGGTGTGGTGGCACTGTCATCTGGTGTTGCTGGAAGACCTCACCTTTAAAAGGTTTGCATTAAATTTATTTTCAGGACCTAATCTGAGATGACCTGTCATACAGCAATTACAGTTTATTTTATATTCTATGTCCAAACCTTTAGGTGACTTTCAGTGTGATCTTACGAGAGAAACAGGGAGTTTTGCAGCTGGCCTTAGAGATTCTTCCCTGGTGTCATTAAAGGAAAGTAAACACAAAGCAAAGTTGTGTGCATCTACAAATGTTGGAGGTGAGCCTGAGGTGGGCCAGTTCTTTGAAATGATGTTATCAAACTACTGGGAGTGATTCACCTTTTTTGGTGAACTGTTTTTAAAATAGGATGGCATGCATTTTTAGAAACAATAAACCCTTTTACCAACAGCTCCCCAAGACCTGGACACTGATATGGTTCACAAGATCAGAAGTGATAGAACTAGCCCAATAAGGTAGCAAGCATGCGTGATGCTGCCTACTTGATATGACTGAAAGGGTATTGCTTTTCAACTGAGCTGCCTTTAAACAACAGACATTTGTTCCTGAAATGCCAATCAAGTGCTTCCTATGGAAAATATATATAGCTATCAGTTAAATTCTGCTTTTTCAATTCCCCAATCCATTTCTAATCATTATGAAATGACACTCTTATTTCTAAAAGGTACAATAAAATGTAATTGGAGAGAACTCTTTAAAAGTGCACAATATCAAGAAATTGTTTTTGTGAGATATGTGGCAAGACACAATTTATTAGAACCTTACCAAATGATCATATTTTGGCCTAAATTGTATCCTTGCACTAGCTATAAAAGAAAGGTTTGCTATAAACATTGATAAACAGATGCTAGAGGGCCTCAGTAACCTACTTAAGAGGACGGACTGTTTTTGAAATACTTGAGTAACACCAATTTGGGGAAAAAAAATGCCAACTAGAGGTTTCTTTTTAGTAATACAGGTACAATTAGATATTTTTTCAATATGTCGTTAGTATAGTTTGGCACTTAGTCTACTACGGAATAATTGCAATGAATTTGCTTTAAAATATTCTATATTTTTACCTTGTTAGCCCAAATTGTTAAGATTTTGCTGTACTTAGTCATTTTTAGGGGGACTGTTTTCAGCAAAGTTTTCTTTTTTTACTGAAACTGTAGACTATTCTCCTAGGTGGAAAATGGCTGCTGACTATGCAAAAAGAGCACAAAAAACTTCAGCAGGAAGACACTGCTTAGGATCATTTCAAATTTTCCATCCATGGAAAATTCTCAAATTCGGCTCAGAAAGGCAATCCTATTTAGAAAACTGCTAATTGGGCAAAGCAAAAGCTTATCGGCAGGAATGGACTGCACTTGTTTTTAGTTCCCCCCTTCCTTCAACAGTCGCACACCTCCAGTGATCCAGGCAATGCTTCCCCAGGTTTCTGAGCTTATCTTCCAGCAGGGCCCTTGCACCGAGAGCAGCACCCCAAGTAGTGCTCTCACGAGGCTCCATCAGCTTCAGTGGGCCTGGACTGGCAATGAATGACGACTATTCCTGCTGGTCCATCAGTACAAACGGCCCCAGATCTCAGATCAGATGTGATTATGACGTGTTTACATTCCTTTGCCTGTGTGTTCCCTAGCCTCTCTCACTCCCTTGAGATTCTAATTCCTGTTTGTATAATTATAATTGGAATCCCCTGCTTCTGAAATGATGTAGTTTCAGCTTCACGGTTTCTAGCAGAAACTTCGCCATTGCTTAAACATTTTTTTTCCTCTTTGCAGCTAGAGCAGTTTCACAAAGCCGTATGGTGGCATCAAGCCTCCGATACATACAAACTTTTCATGATATGAAAGGAATAGCTTACTAAAAGAACCCTAGTGGGGCTATTATAATGACCTGAAGTTTCCTTTAGAGGTCCGTTGCTTGTGTGATGACAACAGGAAACATTTTTCTAAACAAGGAAGTTTCAAACCTCCAGTGGAAGTATGTTATTAAGTCATAGGATTTTTATTTCTCTCCATCTAGCTCAGTCAGCAGTGGCTGAGGTTTTTTTGTTTGTTTGTTTGTTTGTTTGTTTGTTTGTTTGTTTTTCCCAGTGAAGTGAAACCTGCCTCCAAAACCATTCTCTCAGGCCAGGCTTCTTGCTTTAGTTCTCTGTGGGGAGGCCCCAGGGTTTCAAACAATTCTCCAACTTATTTAGGAAGTGGAACAACTAGAAATCACAGCACTTTTTTCTGAATGTGATAAAGAAATCCTGGCTTACTGAGCTAAAAAAAATACCGAATTATAAGAATCAGCATAAGTCAAATAGAACCTTAGAATAAACTCTGATATACATGGTTGGTAGCAGTAGTAAAGTTTAAGAAAAATTGGAATATAAGAGATTATCACTGAGAAACTTCTATTCATTATTTTAATGAAATTAAAGTTCCTCTATGAGTCTAGAAAAAGATTGCCGTTTTTCAGTTTTACTGGTGGAATACCTACACCGAGTTTCTGAAACATCAGTGTTCCAAAGGGGCATAATTTGACAGTGACTGGTATAAAACTTCTTAGTCGTATAGTGCTATAGGAATCGTTATAATAAAATTAATGATACTATGTGATTATGTCCTTGAATGTAGTATTTAAAGAGTTTCCTCTGATGGCTAGCTGGGGGTTGAGGCACCGGGAAATCTGATGACAGGTTCCTTATATTTGATTTCATTCATGGCTTAAGGGAGAAGTGATTGACACTTAGACCTGAGCCTCTCACTCCAGAGCCACTGCACAGTGAGCAAGAAGCGGGCCTGACAGCATGTGCTTGTTCCATGCTGAGAGAACAGCATCACTGCTAATTGAAACAGCAGAGATGATTACCAAGGCTGTAGCTCGAGAAGCAATACATTCCGACACTGGAGGGGAAAGGCCTTTTTTACTTGTAAAAGTTCGCCATTAAATCACTGGACAGGATAAACAACTCATGGAGAAAATCAACACTTATTAGAATCAAAAGGGAACCCGTTGTAATTTGCTGATTTCTCTAGGCACGCTGAATGTAATGTTGAACTAAACTCTCTCAAACATCCTCCACTGGATAAGCAGCCATGATGGAGAAAATTCATCCAATTTTTTTTATACATCTTCCCACAGTTTTCTGAATTATATTTAAGCATAATATAGTGTATCTGATGTTAGCAAGCACCCGATTTAGCATTAATTTCTCTGGATGGAAGTATGAGCCATTTGTTCATGTTAGTAATATCAACCCTATGCAATGTGATCATTTCTGAGCAGATTGATAATATTTTCATCTCAAAGAGGAATTCTGAGAGTTTGCATTCAATTTTGAAGCATCAGCAGCTTTCAGTCCAGAGGCCACACAAGTTTTCTAATCTTATTTTATTCAGTTTCTCTACTGGTTTGACTCTGATTTGAGATTGAAATAAAACTGTGATTCTTTTATGCCTTGATTATATTAAAGGATGTCTTGTGTCTCTTCTGGCACAGCAGCAACTACAAGTAAGTTAATTGTCATAGAGTTATAGCAGAGCAGCACTAGTGTTCTTTGAGGTGGCTATTATACTAGATTTCCAGATGGTTGAGTTTTATTTTTTTAATATACTCAGCCTCACTTCATAAATACATTTTCACAAGGGTACAGAAATCCAATGGAGAAGTGCGTGTTTCCAGGTGTGCTCATATGCACATAAACAGTTTCAATTTGGGGATCCAGCAGGGGACACATAAAACAAAATAAGTAAAAAAAAAAAAAGTTGCACATAGAGTAATTTTAATCCATTCCATTTTTAAATACCACAATAAATTTAATTCTCACAATAAATTAAATAGCCATATTCAGTTTACAAAATAGAATTACTTAGTGTGAAACCAGTATTTACAATAATATACATTATGTACATGACGTTTCTCTTTGTTGACATAAAACATGGAAGTAAAAGGACGTGACTTTCCGATGTGTGATTGACATGCTACGAGTGACACCATGGTCCATACGAGAAAACAATAGTGCAAAATCACCACAGGAACTTTGGAACAATGTCAATTTCATGAGATAAGACATTCTTTTAAATCATAAGAAAATAGTATTTTCTATTTTCATGGCACCGATTCAGCCTCTGAATTAAAGAGCCAGCTTTCCCCTAGAAAAGAATGCATAACTGAATCCTCTACTTCCTGAAGCTTCACAGCCATTGGTACATTTTCCCACATTAATCTTTTGGCTTAAATCTATGAAAATGGCGGGTGACCAATTCTGACTCAAAGGAAGTCTCTTTGAAAATAGCTGAAGTCACTTTCCCCTAATACCACCACCTCTTCTTTTAGTACATAGCTTAAAAGATGCAACTATGCAGACCACAAATTGTTTTTTTGTGTTTTTTTTTGTTTGTACATTTTCAGTAGAAAAAAAAGCTGATCTTATATTTGGTCACACACTGAGTATGTACAAGTATACATGGAAAAACGACTTGGATAGTTGTGTCTCGGAAAAGTGCATATTTTAATCTAGAGGAGACATTGTGTTTCTCCAGGCACAACACATAGTGTTGTATGACATTATTTTACGGCCAGTTCAATGTCCTCCCCGTGATCTGGTAAAATTTTTGATTGAAAGGGTGAAAGAATTTGCGCAATTTGGTAATGACAGAGGGGTCCACCTCTGGATGAATGCGCCCCTTGCTGCCCGCCAGGCACTTATTAAAGATAATGTTAAATCTCAAGCAGTAAAACCCTCTGGTAGCATTGAAATATAAATTGTATTGACTTATTCTTGGGGGAAGATTTAGGAACTTCTCTACGAGCTGAAGTTCTGGCAGAGGCTCCATGATGAGGCGATCTCCATCGACAATGTGAAACTGCTCAATTGGAAAGTATTTCAACCACCTTTCCAGATGTTTGGTATAGATGCTTGTCCTTACCGCTTTGTATTTTGTGTTCACTTCGCAGGTATTAGGGTCTATTGCCAGCTTCTCAAACTTGTAATACGTTTTGTTCTTCCTCTCCTTCCCCTCTAGCACCTGAGTATAATCAGAAATAGCTCTTGTGGTTGGCTCCCTGACAATGATCAACAACTTGATGGATGAGTTCATTTTGTAAATCCTTTCCGGAACCTCCTCTGTGATAAAATATGCTGGGCTCTTTTCAATTGTGATTTGCTGAGGGTAGGAAAAAGGCATCTTTTTCCGATACCACTCAATGCCCTTGGCATAATTCTCATCATTGTCAAAAAAGTGGATTTCTTGAGAGGCTTTGACCACTGCTGGATGGAGGTTCAGCATCTCAAGCAGGGCCCTCGTGCCTCCTTTCCTCACCCCAATGATAATGGCCTTGGGGAGCTGTTGGACCAGGTCATGAAGGCGAACCTGTTCCTTGGAAGCATTGCCCTTCCGGAACTCGTGCAGCAGGCCACGCTTAAACTGCAGGGCACGGAGAGGGAATTCAGCCTGCCCGCGGGCTCCAAATCGGCCTTCAATGGGGCAAATGGGCTGTAGCCTGCAAGCAACAGAGAGATGCTTTAAGAAGCTCATTGCAACCAATTTCTCATTTTTCCTGATTCTCTCTAGTCAGAGTAAGACTAAATGCATAAATAAAACCACTGTTTCCCAGCCTAATGTAATCCATAATGAACATATGTTTAAGAAATTTATTTTAAGCAACACTGTATTAAATGGAGCACACATAATTGATGGGATTTTTTTATTAGTGTTCCTTAAAATTTTTATTCACCAAGCACTTAATTGACTACAGCCTGTACTTATGTTCACAGTACAGGACAGACAAGTGACACCAGTCATACTAATGGCCTTTTAATAGCTCACCAGTTAACATCATTTAGAAAACGTGAAATGTGGAAGATTATAATCTTTAGCTGGAAGACTGAAGGGCAGGTAGGGGTTCAGCCTTTTTGGTTTTGAACCGTATTTTTTTTTTTTTTTTGCAGTTCAGCAGCACTCACATGGCTCATGAAAATCTTTGAGACATGATCTGAAAAGAGGTCCCAGTCTCTGCCCTTGAGTATTTGCATCACCACCCTGAGAAATTCCAAAATTGGCACTCGTTAAGCTTTTCATTTTATGAGAATTTCTGCTATTGGCCTTGGGGACAGCTAGATGAGTACTATATTTCTTCTGCCTCTCTTTTTCTTTCTGTCTAAAGAGGTCGGGGTCATGTTTTTACTTGGCTGAATGTAGGAATGAACCCCATGCCATCATCAAGTGCCGTATATCACCTGCCACTTGGGACCAGAAAGCAGCAAGGCTTTGGCAGGGCCAGAAACCTCAGGTCCTCACTGCCAAGTCTATTTAAATCAGTGAGTCCCGCTCACGAAGGAAGGGATGCAGTAGGTGGAGGCAGAAAGGAAACTTCCCACTTCAATATTGCCTTAAATAATGAACGTCCGCCACTGCTTTTCTCAGAGAGAAAGGTGTAGTGACAGTCAATGATATTAGCCCACAGTGGCTGTTTCATTTGGCATGGCCAATATATATATATGGTTAGTAAATTAAGAATACCTTTTGGGTATAGTCTGGAACTGAACTGAAATTCATTATAATTTTTCTAAGTTTATCTGATAAGACATTATAGCCATCTTGGTGAAGGGTGTAATATTAGTAAAATGGCTGTTAAACTAATTCCTTCAACTGAAGATTCTAGTTATCCTAATAATTTGGAGCCTCTGTCCCCCTCGCTGTGGCAATGAGGCTCTCTCTTACTTTTCCCAAGAGATCCTCTTGTACCTTTCATATCTTTTGTGATGTTTATAATTAAAGGGTGAAGAGAAAAACCTCAAGGTCATGCCAATGCATTCTGCAGAACTGAGGAGAAAGGGCTTGGCCTGTGCTCTGTTTTAAACAGCCATCTGTCCTCATGCTTAAGGAACAATATAAACATATTTTACTGTTTTGTGGTGCTTGTTTTTTATGATTTTAAAAATAACTCATGCTCATTGTAGAAAACATGCAATACTATTAAAAAAAACAGGGTGTGCCACAGTTACTATTTTAGAGAAACATGAGTTTTGTTTTTATAAATTTGTTAACAGGATTAATGTTAGAGCTGTAAATGGAAGATAGAAAAGTAGCAACACATACATAGTCAAAGATGTTTTTAATTGTGACACTGATTGAGATATCACAAATTCATCTTTTAGCTCTCCTTGAGTTCTGGTTGAAAATTAAGTGCCAATTCCCTAAGGTGTCCACTGAATGTAACGGATGGACTTCTTTCTTATGTATGTACAATTATGCACTTCTCTCAACCTTGAGAGAATTGAGAAAATAGTCCATTGAATCCTTTTCTATAGGACTTTAATTCTCTCGAGGAACTCTGGCTGAGAGAGGTGGCAATAGACAGTCTCCATCCTTTTGAGCTTCAAAGGAATTTCCCTACATCTAGAAAGGGCCAGTTTCCTTCTTTTCTTCCTTCTTCTTTCTACCTTCTACCTAGGAGCTCATATGCTGCAGAACAATTGCTTTTTGGACTCCCTAACTCAAGCTAGGAGAAAATATCATCTTACTCCTACTTCCTGAAGAGTAGGTTCTGAGCATGGACCTCAGACTAAAAATCATGGACTCTTAGGATTAAAAAGGACAGAAGTAACTGAGCTCAGCCTCCCACCCAGAGAACCCGGTCTTCAGTTACTAAAGAATAGGCCAAAGTAAGCATGTTACAATTTCAGACATAATCTGCTCAACTCTCAACTGACAACTTTTGAGAAAGCCTACCCAGCAGTCCAATTCCTTATAAAAGTTATCCCAATAGAGACTATAGATCAGGTTAAAAATGAAAAGAATCATCAACTAAATAATGCATTAATGATCATTAGATCAATTACTCAATCAAAAGCAAATAATTGGAAGCTAACTAAAGACATTGGGGGGAACTTGATAGAAAAGTTTTTCTGTGGACATAGGACAATGGTACCACTTCAAGGCTTTTCACTAATAGCTGAGCACTGCTTTTTGGGAACTGCTTGACGTCAGTGATAAGCTCTGGATTATACCAGTTCCCATCATTAGCAACTAGTGAGTAGAAAGTTTACTCAGGAATTTTAAATTGAAAAGCATCCAAAGGGTTCACATACTTGTCAAAATTGACACTCGAAGGAAAATAAAGACCACTGCCATATTTGTTGAATATCCTAGGTATAAGATTTGTAGATTAGAAAAGGGAAACTGTAAGGAAGATATTTTCATTTTAAAGTATGGCTTCATTTTCATGGAAAATAAGAATTGAAAGCCTGGAGAACATACTTCAGCCTTTCCAGTGCAATAGTTAATTTTAAAAGGCAAAAAAGGAAGCTTCACATTTCAGAAATTCACTTCTCGATCCTAACAATCATACCGGATGTGGGACAGCACAGTGGTATTCAATGTGAAGCCAGATGACATTGCTGGGACTTCTGCAGGTCTAGCACCTCTCTACTGTTTGCTTATTTAGAGCCAACCCCTAGCTCTGTAAATTTTCTCTCCATGGATTTTCCGTTGCTTTCTGGGCAATTACTCTGAGCGACAGCCTCGTTGTCTGGTACATTCAGCTCCTGGAAACCAGAGCTAATTAGCATAGTTAAAGCTCCCCAAGCCTGCAGCCATCTTTCCAGGGCAGTGGATTCCAAACTTGATGAGCTCCTTTACAGGCTCAAACATAATTTTAACTCTCCTGGTAGCACGTTAATTCTTCACTCATAAATTTCAAAATGAAGATCCATAAATACATCATTGCTATTTTGCCAGAGGTCAACAACCAGATGCACACAGACCACAGTGAGCTTTAGAAAATGATATTTTTACTGTACACGGCTTTATCCCTACTCTGAAAACAAATGTCAATGCACACAGCATAACAATGGATCTTGACGAACACCTTGGTTTGAGCAACTTGGATCTCTTTCTTTTAGAGCCTCAATAAATCAAAATCAATACTGCAGAAAATCATGTTTCTTAGGAATTTTCAAGGAGAAAAACAAAGGGATACATTTAAAATTATGTCCTAAGGCAGTTTAAATCAAGAGACACTTAAAGTCACATGGGCATAAATACGTGTTTAATCACCTACCTATCCAAGCTCCCAACTCTGGCGACTAGATACAGGAGACTCCCAACGGCAAGGCTTCCCAGCACCAGCAGCTTCTGTCTCAGCCACGCCTGCTGTTTGAATAGCATGGCCCTCCATCAACCTTCAGGACTTCTGCAGCCTGAGAGATGAGGAGGGAAGGGGACTCATCAGCAGGCAGGTCACATTGGTTCTGTTGATTATCACAAAGCCAAGCAAGGGTGGGAATACAGGTGATTAATTGATACCGCATGAAGAACAGACCTCGTACCAACCTTGACAATGGTCATGGTGTGACGGATATTGAGCAAAACTTTCTTTCCTTTTCCTGGCCCATGTTGTAAGATCAAATACTAAACCAGGCAGAAGATGCTAACTGGACAGCATCTGCTTGGCAATTGTCAAAGGGAATGAAAATGCATATATTGTATAGGTATATGTGTCCATAGATGTATATATTTGTTGTTAATTGTTCAAAAAACAAAAACAAACAAAAAACGATAAAATGAGCAAGGTGAGGCTTACCAGAAGGGTAACTAGTAGACTGAAGGTCCTGCTTCAGGATTACAGGACGGACATAGAAATTAAAACCCCAGGTCAGTTCACTTATCTTTTGGGGCACAGTAATGACATATTTTACTTACCTGTTTTTGTTTTGTCTTGTTCTACATGTGAATGGAAGAAGGTGGTAAGATCAAAAGCTGTTTCTTTACTTACTGAGGTTATCAGGGGCCATTACCAGGACCTCCCATTGGAGGACAGTGACTCTAAGTAACCTGAGGTTTCTCTTCAAATTCCCTGCTCAGATCTGAATTGGACTGGCTGATTCTGAAAACATGCTCAGACTAGATGCACCTGCTATATGACCCCTTCTGGCCCTCAATGAATTGATCCATGTTTGGTGATATGGGTCTTGCTCTGATATCAGGACAGCAGCGTTCCTACAAGCTTTGTGCTCGTGATTGAAATACAGCCAGCTGAGGAGTCGAAGGCTTCACGAGTGCTATTACTAAATTTTGGGGGAAAATGCAAGCTTCCAATCCAGCCTTTCTTATTAAAAATAAATCCAATCCCCCTTTCAAGATAAGATCGTTTGCTGCTTATTGAAACTCAAAATAGAAACCCAAGAAGAGGGACTACAGCAATGGGTCATGGTTAGACATTGTTTTGCTGTTATTGTGTCTCTATATTTGCTCTGTGAAGATTTTCTCCATGCAAAAGAGATATACTAGAGTTGATTGACCTATTCATTTTCATCGAAAGATTACTGAGCGTGGATAGCATTTCTGGCTGCTCTACTAGGATTATGGGAGATTCCAAAAAAAGATCCTAAAGGAGCTTTAGTCTTTGTAAAACTAATGATGTGATTAGGGAATCGTGAAACATCCAGAGAATGCAACCTAATTTATGATAATGTATGAATAAATGTTTGGGAAAGAAAATAGAGGAAATGGTCAGGGATATGGGCTCCATGGTAATAATTTTCTTTTCTTTTTATAAATTTTTTGTGGAATGTATTGCATGGTGCATAGTTTAGTGAGGAGGCTGTAGCAGGGTATTCCAGAGGGGAGAGATAATAGCAGCATTCATCCAACACACAGCCAACAAATATTTATATGCCTATGTGCTTGATTCTGCACTGGGTGCTGCGGGGATAGCAGCCACCATGGGAGTCTATAGTCCAGTGGAGAAAACATATTAAACCAGTAAACAGAATTTACACATACTTGCAAGTTATAATAACGATGAACAATACAGGATGCAGTGAGAAAGAATAACAGGAGGCACCTATTTCAGTCCTTCCTGAAGAAGTGAGACTTGGGCTGACACCTGGAAATGAAAGGCAAGGCAGGCAGGCATAGGGTAAAGTGGGGTTCAGGCAGTGGAACCAGCGCTCACAAAAGTACTGAGGAGGGAAAATGCTTGGTGACTCTGAGAAGTGAGGAGAGGCTGGTGTGGCTGGACTTGGGGCCTGAGTGGGAGAGAAAGGGCTAAGAGCAAAAGCAAAAGGGAGGCAGTAAGGTCTTTGTAGGGTCTGGGAGCGTGTGGTTGACGTGGCATGGCTTGTCTTGTGTGGCTTTGTAATGGGGAACAAAGGGGGGTGGGCATGAGGTGCACTGAGGCATGCTATGTTGCAAGGACATTGTCCAGGCAGTAGTTCAGGAAATTCTCAGAAAAACCCTATGAAGCAGATATAATTATCCATTTTAAGGACAGGTAAGGTGAAGCTCAGTAATTTTCTCTAACGTGCCTGTGATCACACAACTGGCAGGTAATGTGAAAGCAAAGGCATAGCTTATGTAGGGGGATTCAGGGCTTTGCTGAAAGAACCGCTCTCCTACCTCCAGGTTGATGTCTGAAGTCCTGAAAGAGAGGCACATGCCTTTAGCACACGCTCTCATCCCTGGTGAGATTCAAATACTACAGCAAGATGCAGACCAGCGTGGCAGAAAGCAAACTGGGCCCAAGTCCCCTAGTCAAATTCTCTACTTAGTGGCTCTGTGATCTTGAGGTGGCCACTTAGATTCTCTGGGCCTTTCTTTCCCTATCTATAAAGTGGGGAAAATTTCTGACCTCCCCATCCATAGGGCTGTAGTGAGAATGAAAAAAGGTTTCTACAAGTAACATTACTCTACAAAGGTTTATTATTAATGCAGACTAACATAAGGGATTATGTATCATTTGTAAGTGTGAACGAATTGAATGTGTATTCACGAACAGTGTGAGAGAATAAAAACTATTATGTGGTGGAAGAGGGCCAGCTACACATGGGAAAGATGGGAAAAATAAAGGTAAAATGTGCTTGCCCTGTGGCCTTAATGAGAGTCACCAGCCTCATGCAGAGGAGCAACTTGGAGGGAGGCTGGGAAGTTATCTGGCCTCCTTTGCCATTCAAACGCAGCACCCACACTCTACAGCTCAGAGCTGTGTGGCACAACGCTTGTCCACTTTCGCTAGCTCATTGGTCCGCCTGTCTTTAGCTACAGTTCACCCTGTGAGGTCTGGGCTATGCCTCAGTTCCCTAGAAGTCCTCTCCAGCTGATGTCCCAGTCCACTGTCAGCTCCCTCCTCTACTGAATTCTTGTTCTTGCAGTCAGAACCAATCAGGCATTCCATTGTTCAAAAGTGTGGGATTAGTGGTAGCTGCTGCCTTCTTCTGTGTGTATCACCACCTCTCCTAGCAATGGGCTAAACCTATGAAGTGACTTAGAAGGACGAGAAAGCTGACCGAAAGGTGGTAAGCCCAGACTCTGTCTGCTTTGCTCTATAGGCTAGTGGTTCTCCATGGTGAGCTTGCAGAGCCCTCAGAAATTCCAGTCAATGGGTCTGTATTAATTGCATGTCTGTATTTTTACGGTGGAGTGAATGATACACAAAACTTAACATCGTTTTCTTTTTCAGTTACCATGGTCAGTAAACTTTCTCCTTAATTTCTTCTTGCCTTGTCCTGTCAAGGCATTTAATGTCTCTGTTAATTCTTAACATTTGGGTGTGTCTCCCTGTTCATTTCCTATGACCTGTACAGCCTGATCAGTTTTCCTAACACAGGTTACTTTGTCCCTCATCTGATTTTGGTTGTTCACTGGATCAAGTCCAATCTCTTCCTCTTGAAAGCCCATGCCCTTCCTTCTGAGATCCCAGCTTGAGTAGTTAGCTTCATTCCCTCTTATTCCTCATGAACATCAGCATCGGTACCCTTCAGATCAGCCTCTTCACTGCTCCCCATACCCTTTCACTCTCATATCTATGCTTTTGTCAGCTTCCTCAGTGGCCTTCAGTCTTTCCTATGTCTCCTTCTTCAAGACTTCTGGATCCTATTAATATCTTCCTGGGGAGGGTGATCCTGGTGAATGTGGAATTTTGGGAAAAAGTCCTGAAAACTTCCCACTGGTGGGTAGTAATGGGCCGGGTCCATTGTGTGGATAATTATAGGACCAAAGGGTAATTGCTGGGCTTACGGCTAACACTTGGGAGATATTTGCACGGAGGGGGTGAGTGAAGCTACGAAGCGACCTCATGGCTGAACTCTGATCCAGGTTGGCAGGCAGGAAAAAGAAGAAGAAGAAAAAAAATGACTGAGGATGTGATTGATGGCTGCTGAGGAAGTAGTCCCAGATACAGGAGAATATCACAACAAAGCTATCAAGCCCTCTACTGCAATGCACATGCCATCTGGTAAACTGTATTTACTAAACCTGACTGAATATGAGGTCCTTATTTTTTCTATTGCCACTGAGGAATTTTTTATTCTCAAAGGCGCCAATACTCCACCTATAGACTCTCCCTTTATGATAAGCCCAATTATTACCATGGAGGTTTTGTAAGATCAGCTGCTATTGCCAGTCTGGCCTCTTTATGTCTGAGATGCCTTAAATACACCCACAGGGGCTTTCTCTCTTTGGGAGGCCTCATTTCTCCAGCCTTTTGTTTGCAGGACTAGCTTAACTCCTTACATTGCCTCCTCTACTTATGGCAGGCCCATTACACCCTCCAAAGCATCCTCATGTCCACTATGCTGCTGAGGACAACTACAAGTTTTATGTGAGATCTCAGCTGATATGACTGAGTCGTCCATGGTGAAGTGCAAAGACCGGATTGGGAGTCAAAGACCCTGAGTCACATTTTGGTTTAATTTTGTAATTGAAATTTTCTGAATTTTGGTATTCTTATCTGTAAAATAAAGATAATGTCTACCTCACAGGGTTGTTAGAACATGAGTCTTGAATAAGACTCTGTGGGATAGAACTTTATGAACATTTGGGCACTTTATAAAATTAAGCAAAATTAATATTTTCAGGAGGCTAATAAATTTGTGCATACATTGCATTTTAAAGAGGAAAATAATTAAATGTAGTTTTCATTGATAGTATAATTGGATTATGAAAAACATAAGTCCATTTTCAATACAAATAACTTTTAATGGGGACTCCTGTCAAACATTAGAATACAGGATGGCACAATTACCAAAAACAAAAACAAGAAGTTCACACTTATCTTGTTAAGCTGAAATCCTTGGAATTTTTGAGAAATGAGGAAACCAAACCAGTAGTTTCTAATGAACTTGTCTAGGACACAGGAAATGAAATCTTACTCTGTTTTGTAATCAGTCTCAGATTACGTGCTAAGAAACAGTATCTTTAC